TAAGACACAAACTATCATATTACTTGCCAGCTCAGTGAAGGCAACACCTGGAATGCAGAGACAATTGGATCGCGATTTGCCCATACCTGCGCATCCCCAGTTGAGCTCGTTGCACGAAGGTCAAACATCCTGTTGGCTTAGATTATCTGTTATTTCCAAATGTTTATTTGTCTGGTGTCAAAAATAATCCCTGATTTTCTAGGTGTTTAGCATACCTCTTTGAGCCCCATATAGCAAACTCTCCAAATGCTCTGGTAGTTTCGAAAATTCTAGCTCCTCCATTAAACTTTTGATATTGCTTTATGAGATGTTGTAATAATTACATATTTACTGTCTTTAGTATGGACGCAAATTCATCTAGTGCAACGAAAATATTAGGTGCCTCTGCCAAATTCCACACCGTAATATCTGTTAACAAATAAGGGACACCTGACAACAATTTGCAGTAATCTAATATTGAAAAAAAATTCATTCAGTTATTGCATGCATGCATGTTGGTTATAGGAGATAAGAAAACCGCAGCTCTCATTGTAATCAGTTTGTATGAGCTCTCACTGAGTTCTTGACAAAATTCCTTTTTTTAGTATCTTTATTCTTAGTTATAAAGCAATGCTAAATCTGTGCCATCTTATCTCTATTATTCTTATTTTATTGTTTTTGTAAAGCAATTTAATGGCATTAAGAGCACCGAATCATTAAGATTGAAATTATCAGAATATTTACTGATTTCCGATGATCAACAACGCATTGCCTGTATGGAGTTCGTTAATTACAGCAAACGCCTTTTTTTATACTTCCGCAAACATTTTCACTAAGGCACCTAAATCTGAAATAAATTTATTTAAATTTGGGCATTTTTATCGTCCAATTTAAATATCGTTAGAAGAACACTTGGAAAAGTCTGCCTATTGCTGCGGAGCTGGTTAAAAGTGACGATTATTTAACGATAATTCACTGAAAACATTTTATCGAAATTTTCACGATGCAGCATTAATCACACACTAACATCTCAGAGAGTTCCGAAATCCCTACTATCAATAAAAAACAATTAATGTTTTCGATAAATTTAGTATAATAAAATGTCCCTTACCTTAAGGAATCAGTCAATGTATTTGCTAGACTAAAGAAATGATTTCGCCAACGTGGTCGCAAGGTACTTTTTTTATAAAGCTAATAATAAATGGTTGCACGAGCATTGATATTAAACTTAATACAATAAAAATCTAAAGCAACAATAAGAAAAAATCAATTATTGACGCCAAGAATAAATTATGAATATCAGTTTTAATTGCACAGGTGTACAGGCTTCATTGTGGAACCAACTTTTACAAAATTAAAATATAACCTTTTTAGATGACTTCCTGACACGTAATTATATATATGTATATATATATAGTTTGTTGCCCTTTTTAGCCAAATGTCATGCGTTGCATTTAGATTAAAATTTGAAGACCATTTCATATTTAAAAATTTGCGAAGTCATTGCGCATGTTTTTTTTTAAATATTTATCCAAATATACTGTTGCGTTAAATATATTTTTAAATAATGTTTTTTTAAAATGGGATTTTTGCAATTTTTTGTCAGATTTTTGTTATACTAGTTCACTTTATTTGCGAGCGTTCTTCGAGCGGCTGGACATCGTGGTTCTACACCAGGTTTGATTGTATGTGATTCGTTACTTTTTTAGTAGTATGGGATTCGATACTATTAATCACGGACATCCTAAGAAATTTGGTCAAGGAAGTCGGTGTTGCCGTGTTTGCTCCAATAGGCATGGTCTCATCCGAAAATATGGCTTAAATATGTGCCGTCAATGCTTCCGCCAGTACGCCGCACAGATAGGCTTTAAGAAGCTGGATTAAATGTAATCGGTGGAAGAAACCTTGGCGCTTTTGCTGTCAATGGCAGATATGATGCCAAAGGCGTTGCGATTTGAATATACTATTTGGAACTATTCGACTGTTCGTTGGGGGTTCTGCAATCTTGTTATTTTGCTTGTGGTAATCCTCGATGCTAATCTGTTATGCATTTATTCGCTGGCTCTTGTGTAGTCTAATATTGCTTAAAAGTAATGACTTTACGATTTTGGGTGTAAGCTAAGGTATACGGATTTGAGTTTTTATTCTGCGTTGGTGAGTGGCTGTTGACGCTCATTCAAGTGCCTTTAAATTTGGCTTAATAATTAGGCCGTTTCGGCACTTTTTTGTTAATTCTATTCCCGTTGACCAAATAAACCTTTTCAACTTGGTGGTTCTTGCGGTGAAAAACACGTCCTTGGGCGCCCGATTCTATTGTTAAATCGAGGGTTTTCAATCGTTAGGTGGTGGCTTTGACTTCTGACTGGCGTGTCGCATTTTTTTAAAAAGCGGGAAAGAATACGTAAGTGGTTTTGGAACGCCTTAAGTATCCTGTGTTGCCTTATTTAAGCAAATTCATTGATTCATCACAGATAAGTTCTTCAGCCATAGTTCACTGGCGTAAATCCGCCGTTCAAATCTGGAGCTTGACTTTGTGTGCATTTAACCACGTAGCCAGGAATCCACTCAAGTCATTTTCAGGCCGTTCGACTGGGTGCTTAACCCTTGTGTGACGAATTCAACTGGGATGCGCAGGTATGTGCAAATCGCGATCCAATTGTCTCTGCATTCCAGGTGTTGCCTTCACTGAGCTGGCAAGTAATATGATAGTTTGTGTCTTATGCTAGTGATTTGGTGAGCAAAATTATGTTGTAGCGGGTGGGTGGTCCTTTTCAACCCATCGGTTGATGCAAATCATTAGCTGACACTTATGAACTACTAAGCGGCAGCTAGAGGTGATTTCCGAAATATGCATTCCTTGTAAGAGATTACTTCACAAGCTGTTGACATCAGGAACACACGGGTTCTGTGGTTTTTAATTAGGGAGGCCCAGGAAAGAGACTGTTCGAAGACATTTGGAATCGAAATGTGGTAGAATTACCGTTGCAAATGGAAAGGTGGCATTTTGTAGGTACCGCTGGTTCGAGAATACGGGGGAAACTGATGTCACTTGTGCAAGCTATTCAGTTAATAAAATGATCAGGTGGAGTAGAGTTGGGGTTGTTGTTACAGAGTACCCAAATAAGGTTCTTGGAAGTTTTTTTTTGTCTGGATTAATTCTTTATAACCTTGTGGCCCCATTTTTACAAACCCGTCTTTTCACCCTGTTGGCGGCCGGTGTGAACGAATGGGTAAACGCCATGACATTGCTTTAAATTAGGCAGAAAACTAGCCTTTTTGTTATTGGTCTTTTCTCTAGCCTTTAAGTCCTCGAAGTATGGTTTAATTCGACAGCTGAACCATGGAACTCCTTGTTTTTGCTGTGAGTTGATTCAGGTGCAGATTTCGAGTGCGAAAGCGATGGGCAATGGTGTTCTGAAGCTGCTTTTTGTTTGGCGGCTCCTTCGCTGTTCTAATTGTTCAGTTGCACATCAACTGAGAATGACGAATCATTTTTCATTTTCTATATTCATTCTGTATCGTTCATGAAAACGGCCTTTAGATTTCAACGGTTGCTCAACTGTACATTAAGTATGGTGTCTAGCTCTCTGGTTAAACTTCCTCAGGGTTGATTTTTGACATTGGTTTTCACCAACACGAGATTTTAATTAGCTGTTCTGCATTATTAATGTCAATTATTTCCCATTTCTTACGGTTCATTTTAAGAAAGTAATTTTGGTGTTAGAGAATATTCAGGTTAAAGGCAACGCCAATGACTTGAAGTCACTTCGTAGTCTTACATGGATTATTTGTTTTAGCAATTTAGCTACCTAAACAACTTATTGACCCTGTGTTTCTCCTAGGCGTTGCCTGTTAAACGTAATAATTGACTGTCGGCTTCTGCTTACGGACGTTACCTTTGTCAGATGTGCTCGACAGGGAAATAAACAATGGCATCCCCAGTTTAAAAAACACTTTTAGCCTATGAATCGCGCCAGATGTCAGCTCGATCAGATCTGTGTGAGCTGTCATCATCGCGACGCAATGTGTTGTCACCCGTAGCGGAGGCAAAAAGAATTTGTCATCCTGGTAATGAAAGACTGGGTTTTATGCCAGTGTTCGCATTCCAAACACAGGTCTGCAGAATGCTAGCATTGTCAGTTCATGCATTCACGACAATCGTTGTATGCATCCAAATGTCTTTTGCGAAGTTCTGATTTGGTTTGGCGCAATCCTATATTAAGCAACATAACGCCAGCTACTTCGTCAGCCTCGTGAACAGCCGCATCGAGAAATCAATATCGGTAGGTGTTGATTTCGCAGTTGTTATCGTTTCACACATTTTCCTTAGCTATATCGCCTAAATGGTCACACGATCGTATAGCCATACATTCTGCCTCGCACCGACAATTCTTGCTTGCGCTAATTCCTCTTAACCAACTCAAAGAATGCATAGGCTGACACTGAATCATCACCAGATTTCCAGTGATCTGGAAAATCGATAATGTGGGAGTTGAAAGCAAAATGAGCAAGGTGTGTGGCTGATACTCATGCGATTCGACGGAAGAATAGAACGCAGTTGTGAACAGCACAACGTGTCCGATTTCACCGACTGCGGCCAAGTAAATTCTCAAGCATGTCCAATAAACAATTTGTTTTCACAGCTTGCAGCCTACCGAAAGTTCTATTAAATCCTTTTATGCATTTATGCTGCTTAAGTGGACATTTTATTTGGCTATTACTAGAGGTAGGTGACTTTGGAGTTGGCATCAGTCGAGTCGAAATAGACCCTAATTATCTTTTGAGTAACACGATTAAGTGAAAAGCTGTGACATCCCGGGATAAAATGAATCGTGGTCGTGTCCGCTCGGTTAAACGTGAGTCTTTAAGGCCCTGAGTGACTGACGGTTCTGGTTACGGGCCAAACGTACCCGCTACCTTTTTCGCAAGGTCAATTAGTGGAACGAGATGTCAAATTTTTAGCACGGAATCATCAATGTGAAGGCAAGGTAACTGATAATGGCTTATTTTAAAATAAAGGCTAGCGTACAAAAGACGCTCCTCTGGCACTTCCTTTCGATGGAAAATTCTCCGAAAGCAACGCCCAATGGTGCCTGTTGCTAGGCCTTTTACTTGTGACTGTGCGACATACTCCAATTGGCTTGGTTCCTTTTCTGCCAAGACTGTCCAAACTCCTGTAAGCCGTCGTGACCGGTTTTCTCCCACGGGACGGCCGAGATATTTGTGGTCTACCTAAAGGATGCAGATCAATTAAATTGAAAGTAGAATCTTTTAAATGTGCCCTCAGTTAATTTGGATCCTAAATCGTGCCCTCTTTGCTTTAACTACATGGAAACACACAGAGAATAACCAAGTTACCTGACCCGCCATTCCACGAGCGATTGCCTAGCGAGGACATATTTGGAATATTTATTATGTTACTAGACTGAATGAGTTACACAAGTAGTCTTCATACAACGTTGAAGTGGCTGATCTGAAAGTTGGAAGGTGCAACGTATTAAAATCGACCAGAGGCGATAACTAATCTTCAGTGATTATTGAATTTTGGAAGTGGCTCCTCTAAGCAGTACATCAACCACGAAGTTGCATTGATGAATTCAAATATAGCAGTAGTCCACCGCCTAACAAGTAGAATACTTGGTCAGGGACCTGGCGAATGGGGTTAAGGCCATCAACCCTCTCTGATCATGCATATTTACCAACGTGAACACCTAAACGGCTTGGTTAAAAACCAACGCGCGGCTATCAGCTCACATTTAGATTCCATCGGCTGTGACGAATGAAGGGAATCTGGATATTGTAGGACGCCATTGATCCACACAATCGCAGCCCTTTTTTAATAGGGTTGTGGTTACACCCACTTAGCACAGCCATCATCCACATGTAGTTGATTGAATTTGGTGAACAGAAGACACCCAAAACGCTTGAGAACAAACTAAGGGACATCGCATGCACTAAAGACTTGAGACATAAAACGCTCAATAACGTCACGTTCTTTAGTTTAAACTATGAAGTGTAGCGAAAGTGTGACATTTTTTCATTTTCGTTATCCAATCGTTTTTCTACTTAACTGGACATGATTCTAAATTGAAGATTATTTTTAATGTCATATTAGAGGACTTGGGTAAAATAGCCTTTAAGGATTTGTTAAGAGGCCCGACATGTGGAATTGTATCACATCGAGAGCCCCAGATGGAATTTGGTCCGGGTACACTACGCTGACACCCACGAAGATCGGGAAAAAGTCAAGAGATAGCAGACACAACCCAAACTAGGTGTCAGTCGAGCCACTTCCCACAGAAAATTCGTGACTGAATAATGAATACTGAATAGTGAATAATGAATGTTCAATACAGTCCGGGGAACCTCCAAAAGCACAAACGACTTAGTGGTCAGAATGGATGAAACGGACAGCGTGGGACTGGTACGCGCACAGGTGTGCATGAGTAGACGAAGTCGCAAATCGATTTGAGACGCTTTGGAGAGGAGGTCAGTGTGGTGGAGAATGCAATGACCGGGTCAATGAACGAAAAATTAGCACGATCTGTTACAAATTACACGTGAGTCTGCATTGACTGCATCATTTTGCCGAACTAGTAAACTTATCATCCACCCACCAGTCTGGTACAGGTCACTTTCAATTGTCAGCTCTCAATGAAATAATACACTGACTTATCTTTTTCTACTGCTAAATTCCAGCAACCCAAAAATAACCTATACACATGCAGATTTCCAGTAAAATGGATTAAGGGTAGATTTACTTGTTGGCATTTGTAACTGCATACATACATCTTTAAATGTGCAAGTAGTCAATAAAGAGCGTTCTTGCAACATCTAAAGGCTTGTTAGATGGCGGAGCTACAATCCACGAACGGTTGACGTATTAATTACGATGAGACCATACAGCTTCCCCGTATTTTCCTAACAATGTAGTATGCGACTACTCAAGTCCTATCGAGTAGTCAGTCGTCAAATGGATGGAAAATCGTGCACATCGGGTTAACACGCTCCAAGGTGCTCTTGCATTTGAAACCCGAGAAGAGAGCGACCATGCAGTAATTGTTATGCCCTAATTAATTCAAACCTCTTGGCACAAGAACACAAATAAAGCCAAAGTGCATTGAAGTATTGTGTTACCGCAGTGCTAGTGCCAAAGATGAGGTCGTTTTTCCACATGTGAATTTCTTTACTTGACGAAAGATCACTTGTCTTCTTAGAGATGCTTGTCATAATATGTTTAAAGTGGGACGTGAGAGATACTGTAAAAGCCAAATGCAACCTCTTGGACAAATAAAGTTAAATAAGGTCCTCTGTCACCTCTCTTCCTCTTCTCGAGTTGCAACGGGCTTTTAACCCGAGGGTAGTGCTAACCACGCCATTTTTTCATACATGTGTGTCGGTATATTACGCCTTGAGCTAACAAAAAGCTAGTGGGTAGGCAGGTACCGCAATTATCTTGTTGTGAATCGCGTTGATTTCCACTCGCTAATACGATCACTCGAGCCCATGGCACAGGGTCCCCCTTTCCGCAGCATGTCGCAAGCCGTGCGGATCCTCAAAACCCCCCTCATTAGCACAAAAATTTATCCTGGATTATCCACACACCTAGGTCTCGAAGTTAGCGCATGTATTATTCACACGTCTGAATGTATAAATACACACGCGCAAACCCCACACACGACACAACGACATCAGTTTTGGTTGAGCTCTGAGGTAAACACTTGTGTCCACATCATCTCCTGTCTTTTCTTCATCGTGGGCATTAGGGAAGGTTAATCTGGCCAGAGTTAATTCCGTGGCCCCGCCGTGGTTTAGGGCCACATGCTGGGACCTATAACAGTTTTAAGAAATTAACGGCTGCTGAACCTTAGCTTGCGAAATAATACGATCCTTGAAACGCTATTATGTGAGCCGTCAAAAAGCTGTGAGGCAGGCAGTCAACGACGAGAATCCTAGTGAATCTTGGATGTTCTTTTAAGCATAAACAATGGTCATTGTTGGTACTCAACTGACATTTGGCACTACATCCAGACACATAAGGTGGCTAAAATGGAGGGGAAAAGGGCCAAAGGTTTACGGGATAGTTAATCCCGATTACGTTGCTGACTTTAAATTTTTGTGCCACAGATGCATACGGGGTTGTGTGTATAAATTACCACAGAATCAGACGTCTTCGCATAAGCGATTCGCGTGCTAGGTAATGGAAAAACCAAAAAGACACGTTGATTGGGGAAGGGTTAATTACCGAGATGTCGGGAATTGAGTCGACACAGAAGACGGTCGTAACAATTTAAAATTACTGCTACCAAAATGAAGCAGTGATATCCCACAAAAGTGATGCGTTGCGCTCGTTCGTGATCGTATGGCTTGCTATGCAGTGGTTCTAATATGCCGACACTGATAATTGCCTAACATCAATTCTATCCATCACGTCAAATCACATTTAGTAAAGACATGCTAGCTGTGTCACTTCTCAAGTCTTTGCAGGAATATCCATTTATGTTGCTCAAGTATCTGGTACGATTGTGCTAGACATTGTACTCAGACAAGAGGTGTGGATTGGATTGGTGGAAGTAGTCGTCGACTGTCCTTCAAGTTCTAAATCCCCACTTAATTAAAATACTTGACCCGGGAGGGAAAAATTCGGTGTTGTGCACGGGTCAGTGGGTTTCCGTGCACCAGATCAACGATTACGACCAATTGGTTATGCTTGATACAATAATATCCCACTAAATCTAAATAAGTCATACTCATTATTACTAGTCGTGTCGAGTTCCACACCAAATCCATGGTATCTTGTTACCAATTTGATCAATGTCTTCTTCCCGAATGATGTCATACCGTGTACCATTTCATTCATAATGACTGATGAGTAGCTCTAAATACACCCATAATGCCATTGATGTGGATGATTTGCGTGTTGTTTTTACTCAACAAATGCTTGTCACAAAACCATTTGCTGCACGTCACGTGAAGCATTGGGGCCAAGGGTTACCGCGATCTACAAAGAACACGAGAGCGGTTCACCGTAGTGGCGGCACCGAAAGTGCAAAATTGTGGACGCTCGAGACTGACCTTTCTTTCTATCAGCTGAAATACGAAACCACAAAGGCGACGATCCAATCTAGTCACGTTCTACAAGCTACAAACCGTTCACTGAATGACCATCTTCATTGCCCTTCTGCCTATTTTGTTGACTCAAAATAGCTACTGTTTTTCAGGAAAGTGGACCGTAGCGATTCCATGTCTACCTAAATGAGCACTGCTCACCGCAAACTAGTTTACAATTTTTATTTCAATTTGCAACTATCTAGGAAGACAGATGATTTCATCTTTCTTCCTTATGGCCTAACACCTAACCCCATCGAATTCTTCATCACCAATCCCCACTTACTGTTTTCACTCACACCAACCGTATCCTTGTTAACTATGATCGACGTATTTCAGACAGCATTTCAGCCGCCAACTTTTCACGTAGTACTGTCACAGTATCTAAATTGCTAGTCTTACGACATTGTCATCAAGCGTTAAGTACCTGTTAATGATACGATAAATTTGACAGATTTTGGCGTGTTCATTTCGGTATCATTTCAATCCACGTAGAGCAAATAATCAGTCAAATTGCGAATCGACTTGAAGTCATC